GAATCATAGAATCATAGAATCATAGAGTTGGAAGAGACCACAAGGGCCATCGAGTCCAACCCCCTGCCAAGCAGGAAACACCATCAGAGCACTCCTGACATATGGTTGTCAAGCCTCTGCTTAAAGACCTCCAAAGAAGGAGACTCCACCACACTCCTTGGCAGCAAATTCCACTGTCGAACAGCTCTTACTGTCAGGAAGTTCTTCCTAATGTTTAGGTGGAATCTTCTTTCTTGTAGTTTGGATCCATTGCTCCGTGTCCGCTTCTCTGGAGCAGCAGAAAACAACCTTTCTCCCTCCTCTACGTGACATCCTTTTATATATTTGAACATGGCTATCATATCACCCCTTAACCTCCTCTTCTCCAGGCTAAACATGCCCAGCTCCCTTAGCCGTTCCTCATAAGGCATCATTTCCAGGCCTTTGACCATTTTGGTTGCCCTCCTCTGGACACGTTCCAGTTTGTCAGTGTCCTTCTTGAACTGTGGTGCCCAGAACTGGACACAGTACTCCAGGTGAGGTCTGACCAGAGCAGAATACAGTGGCACTATTACTTCCCTTGATCTAGATGCTATACTCCTATTGATGAGGCCCAGAATTGCATTGGCTTTTTTAGCTGCCGCGTCACACTGTTGGCTCATGTCAAGTTTGTGGTCAACCAAGACTCCTAGATCCTTTTCACATGTACTGCTCTCAAGCCAGGTGTCACCCATCTTGTATTTGTGCCTCTCATTTTTTTTGCCCAAGTGCAATACTTTACATTTCTCCCTGTTAAAGTTCATCTTGTTTGTTTTGGCCCAGTTCTCTAATCTGTCAAGGTCGTTTTGAAGTGTGATCCTGTCCTCTGGGGTGTTAGCCACCCCTCCCAGTTTGGTGTCATCTGCAAATTTGATCAGGATGCCCTTGAGTCCATCATCCAAGTCGTTGATAAAGATGTTGAATAAGACCGGGCCCAAGACAGAACCCTGTGGCACCCCACTAGTCACTCTTCTCCAGGATGAAGAGGAACCATTGATGAGCACCCTTTGGGTTCTGTCAGTCAGCCAGTTACAAATCCACTGAGTGGTAGCATAGTCAAGACCGCATTTTACCAGCTTCTTTACAAGAATATCATGGGGCACCTTGTCAAATGCCTTGCTGAAATCAAGGTAGACTACATCCACTGCGTTCCCTTCATCTACCAGGCTTGTAATTCTGTCAAAAAACGAGATCAGGTTAGTCTGGCATGACTTATTTTTCAGAAATCCATGCTGACTATTGGTGATCACAGCATTCCTTTCTAGGTGCTCACAGACTGTTTGCTTAATGATCTGCTCCAGAATCTTCCCTGGTATTGATGTCAGACTGACTGGGCGGTAATTATTTGGGTCCTCTCTTTTCCCCTTTTTGAAAATAGGGACAACATTTGCCCTCCTCCAGTCTGCCGGGACTTCACCTGTTCTCCAGGAATTCTCAAAGATGACTGCCAGTGGTTCTGAAATCACATCTGCCAGTTCTTTTAATACTCTTGGATGCAGTTCATCTGGCCCTGGAGACTTGAATACATCTAGACTAGCCAAGTATTCTTGTACTATCTCCTTAGTTATTCTGGGCTGTGTTTCCTCTGCTGAATCATTTGCTCCAAATTCTTCAGGTCGGGCATTGTTTTCTTTATCGGAGAAGACTGAGGCAAAGAAGGCATTGAGGAGTTCAGCCCTTTCTGTGTCCCCTGTTTGCATTTCACCATCTTCTCCTCTGAGTGACCCCACGGTTTCTTTGTTCTTCCTTTTGCCACGAACATACCCATAAAAGCCTTTTTTGTTGCTTTTAACCTCTCTAGCAAGCCTGAGTTCATTTTGTGCTTTAGCTTTTCTGACTTTGTGTCTACACGTGCTGGCTATTTGTTTGAATTCCTCTTTGGTGGTTTCCCCCCTTTTCCATTTTTTGTACACATCCTTTTTTAATCTTAACTCAGTTAAAAGTTCTTTAGATAGCCACCCTGGCTTCTTTAGGCACCTTCCATGTTTCCGTCTCATTGGTATTGCCTGAAGTTGTGCTTTTACTATCTCCCTCTTAACAAACTCCCAGCCATCTTGAACTCCCTTTCCTTTTAGTATTACTGTCCATGGGATCTCACCCAGCACTTCCCTAAGCTTTATGAAGTCGGCTTTCTTAAAGTCGAGAAATTGAGTCCTAGTATGCTTGGCTGCTCCTTTCCGCTGTATAGTAAACTTCAGAAGAGCATGATCACTCGCGCCTAATGATCCTTCCACTTCTACCCCACTAACCAGGTCATCAACATTGGTTAGGACCAGATCTAAAATGGCTGTTCCTCTTGTTGCTTCTCCCACTTTCTGGACAATGAAGTTGTCTGCAAGGGCAGTGAGGAATCTGTTTGACCTTATGCTCTTGGCTGAGTTTGTCATCCAACAAATATCCGGGTAATTGAAGTCCCCCATTACTACTATCTCCCTTCCTTTTGCATGCTTGGCCATCTGTTCCAGGAAGGCATCATCTATGTCCTCCGTTTGGCTTGGGGATCTATAGTAAACTCCCACAATGAGGTCACTGTTATACTTCTCTCCCTTAATTTTGACCCAAATGCTCTCACTTTGGCTTTGAGGTTCTAAATCTTGGATCTCTTCACAGGTATACACATCCCTGACATATAACGCCACTCCTCCTCCTTTCTTGTCTGGTCTGTTTCTTTGAAATAGATTGTATCCCTCCATTATTACATTCCAATCGTGGGATTTATCCCACCAGGTTTCAGTGATTCCTATTATGTCATATTTAGTTTGCTGTACCAGGAGCTCAAGCTCATCTTGTTTATTTCCCATGCTTTGCGCATTAGTGTACAGACATTGAAGTCCATTAATCATTCCCCCGTGTCTCTTATTTAAGGATTTTCTCCTCCCACCACTAGGTCTGCATGCTCTTTGCTCCATTCGGTCTATGACATTTGGATGATCATCTTCATCAATTGATAGACTCCTACCTTCAGGAGCACTGTCTCCCTCCCCCACATTAGTCAGTTTAAAGCCCTCCTGATGAGGTTTCTGAGATTTTTTGCAAAAACATTCCTCCCAACCGTTGTGAGGTGCAGCCCATCGCTTGCCAGAAGTCCATCTTCAAGAAACTGCATTCCGTGATCTAAGAATCCAAACCGTTCCTGTTTGCACCATTTGCGAAGCCAGCTGTTCACTTCCACTATTTTTCCCTCTCTCCCTGGGCCACGTCGTTCAACTGGGAGGACAGATGAGATGACAATTTGTGCATTTAATTGCTTCAATTTCCTGCCCAGAGCCTCGTAATCTCTTTTGATCTTCTGGAGGCTATTGCTTGCAGTGTCATTGGTTCCCACATGAACCAAGAGGAAGGGGTATTTGTCAGTGGGTTTTATGATTCCTTGCAGTCGTTCAGTTACATCTTGGATCTTAGCCCCGGGGAGACAGCACACTTCCCGAGACATCTTGTCAGGCCCACAGATCACTGCTTCTGTTCCCCTCAGTAGGGAATCCCCTATCACCACTACACGCCTCCTCTTAGGTCTGGTCGGGGTTCTTCTGTGAGCTGTCGGTTCCAAGGTCGCCTGGACATTCCCAGAGGACTGCCTTTGCTCCTCGTCTTCATATACCTGATCGACTGTAATGAGGGAGAGATCCTCAAATGGAGTCTGCTCTTCGTCTTCCATGCTAGGGGAAAGGACCTCAAAGCGATTGCGTATTTCTAAACAATCAGAGCGAACCCTGGGCCTCCTACTTCTTTGAGTCACGTTTCTCCATATATCTGGCTCCTATGCTGGTGAACTAGCCACCTTCTCAGGGGAGTCCCCTGTCTCTTCCTTGGTGGAGACGGTGTGCTCTGTTGCTTCCAAGAAGAGTTCCAGCTCTCTAATTCTTTGGAGCGTAGCTACACGTTCCTCCAGTTGCTGGACTTTGTCTTTTAAGAGGGCAATCAACATGCAATTGCTGCAGGTAAAGCTGCCTGCAACCTTTGGCAAGATGGCAAACATTGCGCAGGAACCACAGGCGACTGCAGCTGTTCCCTCACCCTCCATCTTGGGAACGTGTTGTTGGGGGTGACTACAGTGGTCCTCTATCATAAAAAGTGTGGAGACAGGACAAATAAATCCCTCCCAAAAAACCTAGGTCTCCCCCAACAAATGTTTGAGACTAGCTCCCCTAAATCTAAAATAAATCCTGCCCTCGTTACCATTTGCCAGTCGCCATGGGACTTTTGGGGTTTGGGTTTGGGATGAGTTTTTGGAAGATGCCTGTGTGTGAATTTGTTTTATGTGTGTAGATCAGTGCACACTGACCAACGCACAGTAAGGCTCTGTTCTGATGGCATGAGGATCATGACGACCTCTGCTGCAGCCTCCATCTGCCTTCACAACCTTTGTAACATACCACTTGTTATCTTCTGCTTGTTCTGCCCTTGAGGACTTCTTGGATCATGCTTTATCTAGCTCCTTCCCTTTGACCTTACTGCCTTGGGTGACCCTGCTGGGAGTATGAGACTCCTGACGGCTGCACTCACAAGGGTCCTAGGAACGTGCAAGCCCACTCCCCTCGACAAGGTGATGATATAGTGAGTGAGTGGGTGCTGATACGAAGTGCAGGGCAGGGCAGCCCCCAGTTCACACATGATGCAGGCAAAGACTTGAAGGGGTTTTTTTTTTTTTTTTGCAATCAAGTGGACTATAACTCTCCTGAAATAGAATTATAGGAGAGAAAAATTCTAGTCATCATGGTTCTGAACAAAGGACTGGTTGAAACAAGAACCTAGGATGCTGCCTTGGTCCAAGCCAGACCACAGGGTCCATCTAGCTCAGCATTGTCTATGCTGGTAAGATAGCTCAGTCAGTAGAGCGTAAGTCTCTTAATCTCAGGGTCATGGTTTCGAGCCCCATGTTGGGCAAAAGATTTCTGCATTGCAGGGGGTTGGACTGGATGACCTTTGGTGCTCCCTTCCAACTCCACAGTTCTAGGATTCATTGACTGGCAGAGGCTCTCCAGGGTTTCCCAGCCTGACCTGGAGATGCCAGTGGGGACTGAAACTGGGACCTTCTGTAGTGGCTCCTTCCCCGCCCCACCCATCCTTTCGCAAACTCCATTCCTATCCCCAAAATGAAGCACTCAAGAATCTTCAGCTTTCCCTTGAGGGAAAACTGTCCCTCCATCCTCCTTGAGCATGGGAAATTCCATAATCAATGCTCAGGAGAACAAAGATGTTTTGGAAGCAGCAGCTGCAGCAGCCCCATGGACTTTGGGCTCTGCAGATGGCATCCCACATGGCCAGGCGCTGCCAGGGAAGGATCCTCACCTGGGGTCTGCTGCTCTGCTCCTTTTGGCCTGTACCTTTAAGCTCCCCCACCCACACCTTCCTCCCCCTCCTCCTCTCACCTTCCCTGCCCAACAAAACCTCCCCTCCAGAGCCAGAGACAGAGGGGAGCGGATGGAGCATGGCCGGTGGCTGCAGCCCGGTGAGCTCTGCTGAAACGACCGCCCTGGGCCAGGCAGGTGAGTCCCCGACCTGAGGGCGCCCTGCCTCGCTCCCTTAAAGACCACCCTTGGGTACTGTGGAGGCTCATGGGGGTGGGGGGAGGGGCGGTGCGCCCAAGAGAGACAGAAATGTACGGCAAGGACCTCTGGTTGATTTCCCCTTCGAGGAAAAGTTGCCACCTTGGGGGGCTTTTCAGCTGAAAGGAAAGGCGAGGAAGCAGAGGCAGGAGAGAAGTGCCTCAGAATCTGGTGGTTCTCAAACTTTTCTCTCTGGGCCACTTTCAGAATAACAATTTGCTCGCGCCACAGAAATTATTTCTGCTTAGTTTTGTTTTCCAGCGTATCAACTAGCAGTGCTTGATTTATAACCTAGAACGCAACTTCTTTATAACATGATCATGGCACATCCAGAAAGTAAAAAAAACAATGTGGCTACATAAGAACAAGAACCTTTCCCCAAATGTTGTTATAAACCAGCCTCTTACAGGTGTGCTTTAAGTGTGAATACAAACTCAGTGTGAGCTTCCTTTGGCTACGCAATCTCACTTATATCAGGTCTAATCATTTGAGACTAGCAAGCTCTCCTCTTGTCAACACAAAGAAGCCTTTCTCATCTCTGACCTTGCATATTTGTCAGAATTGGAAATTCTTATTTCCAGCAATATGTTGCGGAGAACTGTGGAAGAATAGTCAATGCTTTTGACAAGAGGCATGGATCCTGTTTCTCTCTGTAGAGCCAAACAAAATTAATTTGATACCGTTGTACACAGAAAAGTTTCAGTGTTTCTTGGATTGGCCTGGAATCTTCCTGTCACACTTGCCATCCTCTCGTGCCACACCCTAGGAGAACCGCTGGCATGACACGATGCCTGGCATGGAGACTCAGGACAGGCAAAAGGAAGTCTTTCTTCACGCAACGATGGCCACCAACTTCTGGCACTCAGACAGATTCATGGGGCCTAAGGCTATTGGTGGCTACTAGCCAGGAGGACTCTTAAGTGCCAAAGCCAGTGGAATCCCAGTTTCTGGAAATCGTAGCTGGGGGGAGAGTTACTGCTCTTGGGGGCTTCCCAGAAGAGGTAACTGGTTGGCCAGTGACTGTGAAAACGGTGCGGGAACAGAGGGGCCTCCTGTGGCCTGATCCAGCTGTTGGTGGTGCCTTCAGACGTTTCATCAGAAGCCAGGAATTGTTTCCGTTGCCTTAGAAGGATCTCGCCTTCCCAAAAGCTTGAAGGATGGTTGCAAGAGAGAACAGTGGGTGGATCGTCAGACTCTACTGTTCTTCATGGCAAATCAGGAAACTAACATTTTGAGACAGAGAAAGACGGTGCTTTGCTCCAGTCCAGGACAGTTTCCAAAAGGGCAGCCAAGCTAGTCAGCCTCATTGCAAACAATGTTTGTTTGCTGATTGACTTTATAGCCAGCTCTTCCTGCCAAGACCCACCACTTAAAAACAAAAACCTTCCTGAACGTCACAATGTTCTAAAAGTTCAAAATATCCTTCCATCTATTCTTGCAAGCCACACATGGGGTTTTTTGCTGCGCTCAGGCCTTGCTTGGGGGCTTCTTCCCCTTGGAGGGCACCGGGTGGCCACTGTGTGTAAAAACAGGGTGCTGGAGCAGCCGACCCCACTTTGGGGCTGATCCAACTGCTTGCTGCTTCTGCAGGGCTCTCCTGACATCCTTGTGACCCTGACTCTGGACTCATCATGGACCAGAGCTATTACCTTACCTAGTAGGGTAAAGTCCATCAAGGTAATGGACTCAGTACCTGAAGGGTCAGGAAGAAGCCCCTGGACGTGGGGGAGGAATCTGAGCACAGATCAGGGTCCACAAAACTTGCTGTGCTGATGCAAAAGCAGCTGGCCAGGAGGAATTTTAGCAAGGGGTGTGATTGTAGATTATGAATTGGGACAAGGGATCCCATCTGGTGGGGATGCATGCAGGCACACTCATTTGCACGTTAAACTACTAGCGACCCCCTTATCTTTTTTTTCAACATGGAAAGCTGCCAGGTCCCTGGGCTATGAGGCTCAATATTGCCCACACAGGCTGGCAGCAGCAGCTCTTCAGGGCGGGTCTCTACCAACCTTTCCTAGAGCTGCTGCTGACGATCAAAGCTCAACTATTATAGCCCTAGCTGTGCTTTGACGGCAAATCTGCTGGACAGATTCTTCAGTGACAAGAGTTGGCTCAGTTGGTAGAGCATTAAACTCTTAATCTCAGGGTTGTGGGTTTGATCCCCACGTTGAGCAATTACTGTTGGTATTAATAATAATAATAATAATAATAATAATAATAATAATAATAATAATACCCCGCCTATCTGGCTGGGTTTCCTCAGCCACTCTGGGCGGCTCCCAACAGAATATATATAAAAGCAACAAAGCATTAAACATGAAAAGCTTCCCTAAACAAGGCTGCCTTCATATGTCTTCTAAAAGTCAGATAGTTGTTTATTTCCTTGACAGCTGATGGGAGGGCATTCCACAGGGCGGGTGTCACCACTGAGAAGGCCCCCTGCCTGGTTCCCTGTAGCTTCATTTCTCGCAGGGAGGGAACTGCCAGAAGGCCCTCAGAGCTGGGCTGAAGATGCTCCTTCAGGTATACTGGGCCGAGACAAAAGATTATTGCCTTGCAGAGGATTGGACTACATGGCCCTTGGGAACTCCTCCTAGGGGTTGGTCCCTCCCACTCTGCAGAGGTTAGATCTCTGTGCAAGGAAGTGGGGGGCACTGTGGCTGAAATGGTCTGAGTGCAGAGACACCTCCCATGCCTCCTGGCAGTGGCAAGTTGGTTTTCATGAAGGGATGCTTTGCTGCCCAAAGGGCTTTCCAAACCCAGGAGGGCCATGGCTGTTTGGCAGTCAGTGCAGGGAGTGTACGCCAAGAAGTGCCTCCAGCGCCCCTTGCAGGGGCATCGCCAGCCCCACCTGGCAGATCTGGAAGATGGAGGCAACAGCAAGAGCGGGGCTGCCCACTTCGGCCCTCTGGCCAGCCTTCACATGCCAAGCAGTCTGCTCTGGCCAAAACTGCCGCTTCTCACAAAGCAGAAACCACAAAGGCTTTGTTCTCTGGGGAGATCCCTGGCAGGGCTGGGCAGAGAAATCAGAGACGCCTTTCTTCTGGCGCTGATGGAGCTAAACCTGAGGAAGGCCAAGAGGCCTGCACACAGAGAGGGCTGTTTCACTACCAGAGTTCCAGACGGTGCCCAGGGATCCTCTGCGCTTACTTTGCAGGTGCCAGAGGATGTTGGAGCGCTTCCATTTGCCTGCCCTCCCAGACCCTCCAAGTGCCCCTATTTTCCAGGGACATCCCAGATATACAGACGCCGTCCTGGTTTCTGATTTGATCCTGGGATATCCTGCTTTTCCTTAGGACGTCCCTATTTTCAACAGAGAAATGTTGGAGGGTATGATTAGTTATCTGAGCCCTGAGCCAAGGAGATAATACAACCTTTAGAAAACATTTGAAGGCAGCCCTGTCTAGAGATGTTTTTTAAATGTTTAATGTCTTATTATGTTTTTATATATGTTGAAAGCCGCTCGGTGTGGCTGGGGCAGCCCAGTCAGATAGGCGGGTATTGTTGCTGTTGTTATGGAATAGGATGTCCCTAATAAGAATAATAATAAATAATAATTTATTACTTATACCCCGCCCATCTGTCTGGGTTTCCCCAGCAACTCTGGGCGGCTCACTACAGTATATTAAAAACACGATAAAACATTAAAAATCTCCCTAAACAGGGCTGCCTTCAGATGTTGTTTCATTGGAGGGTATGCCCTCCCAGCCTTCCCCAAGTTTCCGCTGGGGGCTCTGATTCCTTCTGACCCCCCCCCCATCTCACATTGGGTCCCTCCCCTTAGATGCAGGAAGCTGTGGGTGAGGAGGGTCCGCTTTCCAAATTTCCAACAGCTCCTCAATCTCACACTCAAGAAAAGGCCATTCTCCTCGTAGTGTTAAACTCTGGAACTCCCTCCCACAGGAGACAAGGATGGCACCAATCTGGCTGTCTTTAAAAGAGGAACTGGACAAGTTCATGGAGGAGGAGAGGGCTCTGGGGGGCTCCTGGGTGCCCGTTGCTGGAAACCGCAGGAGGGGAGAGTTGCTCTTGGGCTTGGCTCCTGCTTGCAGATTTCCCTTTGGGCACCTGGTCAGCCACTGTGAGAACAGGATACTGGGCTAGACAGGCCCCCTTTGGCCTGATCCAGCAGCCAGGCTCTTCTGATGTCCTTATGTAACATCTGAACTTCCAGGTCTTTCGGGGTATTTGGCTGCTGTGGCTGGTGGCTGGATGGGCCCCCTTTGGCCTGATCCAGCAAGCTTGTCATGTGTTGGAGGCAGGGGTGCCAACTTGAGTAAAATATTGTGGGGACCCAGGTAAGTCCCTCCCCACATGATGCAGTGTGTGCACACCATCTGAGTAGGAATGCCCGTCCACTTTGTGGGGGCCCAGCTCCCTGAAATATTCTATTGTGGGGACTGAAGCCCCCACAGCCCCTAGGAGTTGGAGACTCTCCCAAGGATTAGTCCCCAACTGCAGTTGTCTGTTTGTGTCATTTAGTTGAAAGCAGCCCACCCCATGAAATCCCAGCATCTTCCCAGAATAGAAGCATTTCCCCAACCCTTTCACAATGAAAGTGCAGGATAACAACCCCATAGTTTCCGAAGAAGGGAATTCTTCTCAGCCCCAAGTAACGGCTGCAGCAGCCAATGATCAGGACGGCTTTCATTCCATTTCTCCTTTGCTTTCCACAAGAAATGGCTCAAGGAAAATTGTTCCTTGGCTGCCTTGTCAGGGGCCCCAATCCCAAGGCTTCCCATCCCCAGGCGGCACCTGCAGATTCTCCCAGGGACAAGAGAAGGGCTGAACCGAAGGGCTGAGCACCAAGCGGCTCATTGAGATGCAACCAGGTCAGCACCGCATCTTCTGATATTGAGTCAGAATCTCCTTTCGTGTAACTTGAAGCCAATAGTTCAGGTCCTCCCTTCCAGAGCAGCAGAAAACAAACTTGCTCCCTCTTCCATGGAACAGCCCTTTAGATATTTGAAGATTGCTCTCCTATCTCCTCTCAGACTCCTCTACGCTAAACATACCCAGCTCCTCCAACCATTCCTCATAAGGCTTGGTTTCCAGATCCTTGATCATCTTGGTCGCCCTCCTGTGCACACCTTCCCGCTTGTCAACATCCTTCTTAAATTGTGGTGCCCAGAACTGGACACAGGACTCCAGGTGTGGTCTGACCAAGGCAGAATAGAGCGGCACTATGACTTCCCTTGATCTGGACACTACAGTGGTACCTCGGGTTACATATGCTTCAGGTTACATACGCTTCAGGTTACAGACTCCGCTAACCCAGAAATAGTGCTTCAGGTTAAAAACTTTGCTTCAGGATGAGAACAGAAACTGCTCCGGCGGCACAGCAGCAGCAGGAGGCCCTGTTAGCTAAAGTGGTGCTTCAGGTTAAGAACAGTTTCAGGTTAAGTACGGACCTCCAGAATGAATAAAGTACTTAACCCGAGGTACCACTGTATTCTGCGTATGCAGCCTGGAGTAATGTTAGGGCTTTTTTTTTTGCTGCTGCATCACCCTGTGGACTCATGTGGTCCACTTTAGACCCCAGGATCCTTTCCACATGTCTTACTGGCATGTGTCCAAAAGGGGAAGGGGAAGGTGGACCTAAGTGGGAGGGACACAGTGTCTAACCAAATCTTCCAGAAATCTGAATACTTGAAATCTGAAAGGGTCAAGAATCCCTTGCCAAAGCCATTTTAGCCCGTTTTCTTCCCCCAATGTGCAGGACAAGCATGGAGCCGCCAGTAGTCCCTGCTGGGAAACCAGTGCTGGGGGGAGAGAAGTGCCGCCCTGTTGCTGGGGGAGGCAGCACCCGCTGCAGGCTGACCCTGGTCTCCATCCTCCTGGTTGCCATCACGGCCAGCTGTGGTGGGATCCTGATGGGTGAGTCCATCCCTGCGGAAATTTGATTCATTTCTCAAACTTGCCTTACTTTCTTAAACTTGTGTACCCTGCTTCCCTTCTTTGTCAGGCGTTTACACCTGAATTCATTGCAATATCTCATTAGCATTACAGTCATACCTCGGGTTACAGACGCTTCAGGTTGCGTTTTTTCGGGTTATGGACGCGCTGAAACCCGGAAGTACTGGAGCAGGTTACTTCCAGGTTTTGGCAGTCGCACATATGCAGAAGCGCCGAATCACAACCTGCACGTGTGCAGACCCTGCGGGTTGCGAATGCTGTGGGTTGCAAACTTGCCTCCAGCATGGAGTGTCCACTGTACTTCATTCATTTTGTAATGTTTATGTGCTGCTTGGCAGCCTGTCCAACAGGTGCAGATTGGGGTGCTTCTGTCCTGGCTTCTGCCCTCCCCCCCTTAACGCTGGTGCTTTTACACCAACCCACCCTGTGCCTCTTCCTCTCTGCAGCCTTCCTGGTGAAGCAGGAGTTCCTGGCAGATCACCTGGTGGAGCTGCAGGGCCTCCGTTATGAGAGCAGCCTGCAGTGCCCGAGCTCCAACTATCACCGCACCTTGACCCCCGTCCTGGAGAGGCTGGTGAGGGCAGAGAGAAGAGCCCCTGTGGGGCGTGGGTGGGTGGGTGGTTCTGCAGATGAATCCTCCCCCATGAGCACTGGAGGAGCTGGGGGTTTGGGGTGGCCATGACAGACTTTGATTTCTGATCCCTTCAAGGCAGGAGCAATACTGGATTTAGGGGGCTGCAGGCGAGGCAACACAAAATTGAAAACATCAATCACTGATAAGATCCATGTGGGGGCGCCAAATTTTGGCCTTGCACAGGGCGCCATATCACCACTTTTTCCTGCTGGGGGTGCAGGGGGAGGTTCGCTGACAGTGGGGAGCCAGCTGTAAATCACACTTAGCAAGCTGGAGTTCATGCTCTCTTAGCAAAAACAGAAGTGTCAGGCCTAATGAACACAGCAGCTCACCTCTGGTAGGTCTTGCTCCCATGAAGCGGTTGCTGAGGCTAAAGGTCCCCATCTCCCCACATCTATCTAAGCCTCCTCCACCCCAGGGTTTCCCCCAAGCAATCAGAGACTGTACCTGCATGCATACCTGCCCTCTTCATGCCTCTTCTTATTCTGGGAGAACAGCGGGGAGGAGAGCTTGTTGGCACAGGAGTAGGAGACCCCCCCTGACTTCCCAGCCAGACTCCTCCCTGCCTCTTGGCCTCCTTCCTCTCCTGTTTCAGCTTCTGCCTCCGATTCTGGACTCCTCTCTGCCACAGACTCTCCCCGCTCACAAAGCCCTGTTACCTCTTCCTCGTCTTCTCCCTCTTCTTCGTCCCCCCCAGGCTCTGGGCCTTCTTTCTTGGGGGTTCCCCCAGCTGGTTCCTCCCACCATTCCTCTGCGTTCAACCAGTTCATGACAGTCACCCGTTTGCCGCCCCCCCTCTTTTCTGTCCCGTCTCAGTTTAAAAGCAGCTTTCAGAACTCAGCCCTGGAAGGGACCTGTGACAGGTGCTCCGTCTTGCAATACAGGTAGGCTAAGCCATGGAGTGTGTCCTGCCCTGCCCCGCCCTGCCCTGGTGCTGCAGGTGAGGGGAAGCCTGGCCCCCACCTCCTGCGCTTGTGTCTCCACTTGGCAGGAAGGGCAATGCCAGCATCCTCGTCCACTTCCGCCTATGGTTCTCCTCGCAGCCGCTCAGCCCAGACGCAGAAGAGCAGGCGCTGGAGAGGGGCCTGGCCGCTGCGCTGGGCAATGGAGGAATCACCCTGCCCTCCTACGGCACCATCTGGGCAGCCTCTCTCACAGGTAGCATGGCATCATCCCTCGCCCATTGTCCAGGGGTAGGGAGGGCAGGCATGCAGGTGGCCTCGCCTTCTTCTCATCACCCCCCTGTGAGGTAGGCTAGGATGCAAGCAAGATCAGTCCCTGCCTGAGTGCAGAAATCCAGATAGGGGCCTCCTACTCCTCCTGCCAGTCACTGCAACCTTCTCACCCTGGGGGCGAGGTGGCAGCTTTTGCATCTCAGCAAGGAAGGTGAGGGGAGAGCTGAGGCTTCCTCACTGGATGGTAGCCAAAAGGTCTGGCCTGGCTGGACCAGAGGGAGCTTAGAAAATCTTTGCACTCTGTGTAGGGGGAGCCGTGGCAATGAATGCGGGGGCTTTGTCCACACACACACACACACACACACACACACACACACACACCTGTCCTCATCATGATATTGTTAAATATTTGTATACTGCCCTATACTTGTTGATCTCAGGGCAGTGCACAAGATAAAGTTACAATATAAAAACACAGAATACATGATAAAAGTAAAAACCAAGACAACCCAATAATCTCCCCTTAAGCACAAGTTGTCCCCCAAAGGAACCCAAGAACGACAGTTTGCCTCTCATGGAGGTACAACCCCAGCCCCCTTAAATTACAGCTCCCAGGATTTGGGGGGGGGGCAGGGAGCCATGTACTCTAAGGGTCAGGCATGGGTCCAGAGCCCTGTGGGTTCAAGAGACTTGCTGGGGATTTCAGGAGAGGAGGGGTCCCAGTTCTGGGCCGGAGTGGCCTCCATGGAGAGTATTTGGGCTTTTGGAGACCAGCCCCCATTCTTCACCCCCCTCTCTCTCACACAGAGCTGAGCAGCGACTCCCCTTCAGGAACAGGACTGAAATCAGGTAGGCTTCTTTTAACATTTTGTGAGCTCAGGACGTGGCTGGAGAGCAAAACAGTTTTATTCTCTGCAAAGCCATGGGGGGGGAGGGGGAGGAAGGGGCTACCTATGGCTTCTGGCCATGCTGGCTCTGTTGCTGGGCATCTGAAGCAGGGACCTGCTTGGGGATTCCCATGGCAAGGCGAGGTCCAGCTTCCACAGGGCTCCCCCGGGGACCTTGGCCCTCCCCAAAGAGCAGCTGCCTCGGGGGAAAGAGGCTGGGACCTATCCTGCTACCACCCTTGCAGGCACCTGCCCAGGGACAGCCTTCACCTGCCACAGCGGCCAGTGTGTGCCACGTGAGAACGTGGAGTGCGATGACCGGAGTGACTGCCTGGACGGCTCCGATGAGGCAGAGTGCGGTGGGTCCTAGTCTTCTCCTTCCTCTCCTTCCTCCTTTGCCCCTCCTTCTTCTAGGGGTGCTGGGACATTCCCATCCAGGGGTGGTGTCCCCTGGGTCTCTCTCTTCATTCCATATCCTGGCGGGGATTTCCCCCACGTGGTTTCAAGGGTGAAGCAAAGGGGCCTCTTTGGTGCTTGCATTAAACCAGGGGTCAGCAAGGTTTACCTTGCCTGGGCCAGATTGGTCCTGAAGAGATCCCTCTGTGGGCTGGATCGTGCGCGTGCATGAGCACATGCACCCACAATTTTCGGCGTCTGCACATGCGCAGATGCAGTTTTTGGCACCGTGGAAGCGAGTCCCTGCACCGTGCTACGCCAGTTTAGCGCAGCATGTGAGTGGGCAGCTCGTGGACCTGTCAAACGACCTCTGCAGGCTGCTTCTGGCCAATCGGCCTTAGGTTGCTAACCCCTGCATTAAACAATTAAATGTGCAAAAAGGAAGGCGTTAAGATGAACACTGGAAGTGGCAGGTGGGAGCTGCCATCTCAGAAACGGACTCCCCCTCCAGGAGAATGCTTCTTACTGCCTGCTGCTGGCACCTCCTTGTATCAATGAACATAAGAACAGCCCTTTGAAAGCCGTCCAAGCTGGTGGCCGTAGTCCATAGTTTCACCAAGTGAAGGATTTTTTTTCTCTGGGTTCTGAATCCCTCTGCTTACTGCTGCCACCTGGGGACAGATAATTGTACCTGCAGCTTCTTTTTAACCATTCTGCTGCCACCTGGTGGCATGTTGGAGTTGCTGCAGACCATTTCTACCCCTGAGTGGGGACTGCTCACCCCCCCCCCCCTTGTCTCTTGCAGACTGTGGGTCTCGGCCGGCCATGCAGGCAGCCAACCGGATTGTCGGGGGGTCGGAGGCCACTCGGGGGGAGTTCCCCTGGCAAGTCAGCCTGCGGGAGAACAACGAGCACTTCTGTGGGGCCACAATCCTGGCTGCCAAGTGGCTGGTGTCTGCAGCACACTGCTTCAACGAGTAAGCCCGGCCGGACCCATTTTCTTGCTTCTCCCGCAAGAGACTGAGTGCACCATGCCTTGCTGGGTTGTGGCAAGTGGGCAGCTCTCTGGTGCTGAGAACCTTGCAGGGTTAGGGAAAGAGACTGGAGGTGGGTGGGTGGCACGTGGGGCAGCTGCTGGGTCTCAGGCCTTTGGTGTGTCAGGGGCTCACCCTGCATGCAAAGACAGACTCCGATGGACAGAGCAGATGAGACCGAGTGTGGGTCCAGCAGCCAAGAAGGCAGGTTCTGCCTGTGAAGGTGAGGGAAATGTGGCTATTCAAACAATAACATTATTAACAAGTCATGGTGCTTTTAATAAACACATTCCAGATATATTTGTATTTATCCACACAGTATCTGCAAGAGCTGCCATCTCCTATCCATTGTTCAAAGTGGCCCATGTCAAAATCTCCCCACTGAATCAATATCAGTCTATTGGCAGACGGAAGGGTGCAAGGAGTCCATTGATGTGCCCTGAAGCTCTCCTGCTGCCAACAGGTTCCAGGATCCGGGCACCTGGACGGCCCATGCAGGCACCGTCTGGCTGAGCGGCAGCGAGAGCAGTGCAGTGAAGACTGGTGTGAGCCACATCCTCAAGCACCCCTCCTATGACACAGACACGGCCGACTATGATGTGGCGCTGCTGGCGCTCTCTGAGCCTTTGCCCTTCAGCAAGTACGTCCAGCCCGCCTGCCTGCCGGCCTCCAGCCATATCTTCCCCTCTGGCAAGAAGTGCTCCATCTCCGGCTGGGGTTACCTCAAGGAGGACTTTTGTAAGCACAACCTTTGGCGAGGCAAAAGTGGAAGAAGGAGTGGGGGCCACGGCTTGGCCGAGCCTACCTCCCAGGGCTCCTGTGGAGATGGGGGTGGTGTGGCTCAGGCAGGGCTACTACAGGGGGCAAAAGGGGCTGAGCTCTCCACTGAATTGGGCAACTGTCCCCCTGAGGGATCCATCTGAGGAGGAGCTCTCCTTGGCTTCACAGACAGCATTGTACGGTGGGTAGTTTTGCCACAGGCAGGGAGGTAAAGGTGAGCCTTGGTGTGGTTGAGCACTCCAGCCTCAGTTGTTCCCTCAGTGTGTTGCTCCCTACTGGGGGGCAGGTGGGGACCTTAAGGTTGCTTTTCTGCACAAAGGTTGAGGTTGCTGCTGCTCCACCTCCTTCCCCACCTCCTCTTCCCTCTCGTTGCCCCTGGCCAGCTTCACCCAAAGGGGCAGGAGGAACTGAGCACCCCCATTTTCTCTGTTAATCCTGAGATACCAGCCAACCCTTAGCACAGATTTGGTTTGATTTAAGATTGTTCTTCTGCTTTCCCAGCAAGAAATGTGGAGCTCGCAATAGCAGCAGCATTTTAAAAAGCGAGTGAACAGACATTGCAATTACTATAAGGGAAAGCACAGCAACATTTTGAAAAGAGCAGCAGCAACAAGTTCATCAGAAGAATTACACACAGGTCCAGTTATCCAAACTCTCCTTCAGACAAAAAAAAAAAAGTAAAAAAATCCTTGTCCAAACATGACAAATTCATACCAAAACCTCACCATACAAGCTGTGGATTCAAATATCCAAACAGCCAGAGCTGCATTTTGTACTTCAAGGAAACAAGCAGCCTTAAAGAATCCTGACTTCTTTTGTTTTGCTTGTCCACAGCAGCCATTCCATCAGAAAACATGGTGTGGATTTGAAGAGAGCATTTCCTGCTTCCTTGTTTGCCTTTTGCAAAGTTTCAGGATTTCCTCCTGGGTTTTCTAATAATTTTTGGGTCAAAATTAGAAATGAACCCATAGGAACTGATGAAAATCATTGCCTTGTTATGCAAACGCAGACCTAGCAAATGATTTCGTGAGAATGCTTTGCATTCTGATAGTGGGACCTGTGTGGAATGCAATTCAACAACCCCATGGCCATTCAGTTCAGTGCCTGCCCCTCAGCTGCCCTGCCCTGGAGAGCTCAGGGTGCCTGGAACTGGCAGGTGGAGTCCCTGTCAGGATGCGTCCACCTGTATTGCCCTCAGGCCTTGCCACTGGGCTCCACCTTCCCTCTCTCCTCAGTGGTGAAGCCAGAGCTGCTGCAGAAGGCCGTGGTGGAGCTGTTGGACCAGACACTATGCGCCAGCCTGTACAGCAACGCCCTCACCGACCGGATGCTGTGTGCTGGCTACCTGGAGGGCAAGGTCGACTCCTGCCAGGTATGGCCAGAAGCAGTCTCTGGGAGAGGGCGTGTCTGGCTGCAGCGGGAGCTCCGGGAGGAGGCCTCTGGCATGCCACAGTGCCCTTCTTCTCTCCTCTTCTCACCTACAGGGGGACTCTGGGGGCCCACTGGTCTGTGAGGAGCCCTCAGGCCGCTTCTTCCTGGCCGGAATCGTCAGCTGGGGCATCGGCTGTGCGGAGGCCAAGCGCCCAGGGGTCTATGCCCGGGTCACCAGGCTGCGGAACTGGATCCACGACACCATGGCCACGTTCACGGCCCCACCAGGCCTCACCCTCCCCTCGATGGCCTCCACCACCCTCCTGCCTCTGGCGTCCACCAAGGGCACCACCACCACCACTGGCAAACCCCTACCCAGCCCCACCATGGCCGGGGGCAGGCCAGCTGCCACGGTACCACGGCCCCAAGGTAGAAAGCCCCCTACTCTGCACAGGGCCCAACTGGACTCCTCCTGGGGCTTGGGGCACAGCCGTCGCAAGCTCACCCATCTTTTTCTTTGTGCAGAGTGCGGCCGCCGGCCCGGCTTCTCCAAGCCCATCAAGATTGTGGGGGGCCTGGATGCCTCTCGCGGGGAGGTCCCCTGGCAGGTCAGCCTGAAGGAGGGGCTGCACCACTTCTGTGGGGCCACCATCATCGGGGAACGGTGGCTCCTTTCAGCTGCCCACTGCTTCAACCAGTAAGTAGGGAGAAAGGTGGTTGCCTCAGGTCCAAATTGTAGAGTTCGAAGGGGACCCCCAGGAGCCACCCAGGCCAACCCCCTGCAATGTAGGAACTGCAGCTAAAGAATCCCAGACAACACTAAGGTTGCAGGTTTGATCCCTGTTTGGGACAGTTGCCTCTTCCTACATTGCAGGGGGTTGGCATAGAGGAGCAGGGTCCCTTCCAGCTCTACAGTTCTGGGATTCCATGCCTGCCCACTCTCTGCTTAAAAGGAGGAAGAAGGGTGCCCCACTTTCCAATCAGCACCCTCCGCTCTCCGAAATTGGGAAATGGATCCTGGGAACTTCTGCAAATGGGGAGTCAGGTGCTGTAATGGTTGTAGCTTAGTGTGGCACCTTAAGGGCAATTGATGTCACCAATCCGCACTATCAGTTGGCACTGGGGGACACCACACCACCCATTTCCCCAGAACCAGGAGAAATTCCACCCACAGCAAGAGGGTCCTGGGTTGGGTGGAGGAGGCTTAGTGGGCAATTTCCAATTGCTTGAAAGCTGTGGTCTTGGCAACTGATTTTCATGCAGTGAGACCACTGGGATCCTGCTCAGCCAAGTCTGTGGAGGTTGTGTTTTTGCAAAGAAAGAGTTCTCTCCAACTTTGAACTGGCTGATTACTGACTGACAGGCTGTTGTGACTCAGGAGGAGAGGAAGGAGCTGGGTGGGGGAGAGACCCCTTTGTGGGCATGGTGACCACCAGAGATGAGCCCCCCCATTCACCCACCTGCCCCTGGCCTGGCCGCCACTAATGGTCTGTCTGCGCCTGTGTCTCGTTTCTGCCCGTGCTGGTAGCACCAAGGTGGAGTACCTGACAGCCTTTGCAGGCACCACCTGGCTGTCGGCGGCAGACAGCAGCTCTGTGAAGGTGAGCGTAAGGCAGGTGGTGCTGCACCCCTCCTACAACCCGGCCCTGCTGGACTTTGATGTGGCCGTCCTGGAGCTGGAGCGCCCCCTCCCCTTCGGCAAGGTCATCCAGCCCATCTGCCTCCCTCTGGCCGTCCACAAGTTCCCCGTGGGCAGGAAGTGCATGATCTCCGGCTGGGGGAGCCTCCAGGAAGGCAATGGTAAGCACTTCCCCCTCCCCCTTGCAGGCAGCGCAGGAGCCAAGGAGGCAGGCCGTTGGATCCATCTAGCTCCCTGCAGTCTACACTGACTGGTAGCAGCAGTTTCAAGCAGGGAGCCTTTTCCAAACCCCGCTTGGAGATGCTGCAGAGGACAAATAGCTCAGAGGGTGGAGCATGAGACTCTGAATCTCAGGTTCATGGGTTTGAGCCGCATATTGGGCAAAAGATTCCTGCATTGCACAGAATTGCACTAGATGACCCTCAGGGTCCCTTCCTTCCACGACTGAACCTTTCTGCATGCAAATCAGGCTGCTGAGCTAGTAGGGAAGGGATATTCCAGAACGTTCAGCTTTAAAAACAACACACGCACTTTTGTATGTGGATCCTCCATGTGCAGGAGCAGTCTACCCGGGCTGTTTCACAGAATTGTAGAGTTGGAAGAGGTTCTGAGGCATGCCACTAGTCCAGCCCCTTGCGATGCAGGAATCTCAACTCAAGCATCCCTGACAGATCCCTGCTCAAAAACCTCCACCGCCTTCCAAGGGAGTCTGTTCCACCATCAAATGGCTCATGTCTTCAAAAAGTTCTTCCTAATGTTTAGTCAGAATTGCCTTCCCTGCAAGCTGAACCTGTCAGTTCGAGTCCTGCCCCTCAGAGCTGCAGAAAACAAGCTGGCTCCACCTTCGATGTGGCAGCCCTTCAGATATTTGAAGATGGCCACCCCCATATTTCTTCCCTCTTCCTTTCATGGGTGTCCTGGAAACTTCCCTCCAGGAGCTACTGGACACTGCTCTGCCCCCTGGCCTGACCTTCACTCCTCCCCTCTGCCCTCCCCCTCCCTGCAGCCTCCAAGCCAGAGAACCTCCAGAGAGCCTCTGTGGGAATAATTGACCAGAAAACCTGCAATGTCCTCTACAACTTCTCCCTGACAGAGCAGATGATCTGTGCTGGGTTCCTGGACGGGAAGGTTGACTCCTGTCAGGTGAGGGTGACTGAGGGTGGCCAGCCTGGGATGCCCCATTCCCACTCAGCTTCCAAAGTGCACCTGATCACAGAGCTGGGCGCTCATTGGAAGGCCCCTGTTTTGAAGTGTAACGTTCCCCCTGCAGAGCGGGCCACTCTGGTTAAAAGGACCTTCTTTGAGGGCCCCAGGGCTCTTTTCCAGACACACTAGGGGCCACTTTGCCTCTGGGACTTGGTGAGGGCGGAGTTGAGAAGAGACCCCTGTGAGACTCCAGAGGGAGCTTCTCCTGTCTGGGAAGCTTTGTTAGCCCTTGCTGAGCTGGTTGCTCCCATCTCTCCCCGCAGGGCGACTCAGGGGGCCCCCTGGCCTGTGAGGAGACGCCAGGCGTGTTCTACCTGGCGGGGCTGGTCAGTTGGGGGGTCGGCTGTGCGCAGGCCAGGAGACCCGGTGTCTACGCCCGCATCACCAAGCTCAAGGCCTGGATCCTGGAAACTATCTCACCATGCCCCAGCACCACAACCAAGGCCGCGACCACATCCAGCACCACAACCAGTGGCAGCGCCTCCGCCTCCTCCCCCAGCCTGCCTTTGGCTAGTCAAAGGACCACCCAGGCCAGCCTCAGGGTCACCCCCAGCACAGCCAGGCCACCAACCAACACCCCGAGAGCCACCCAGTTCGCAGGTACATGGCAGGGGCACGAATGGGCAGAGGCTGAGCATATAAATAATAAATTATTGTGATTATTAGCAGGGTGCCAGGTGAAGGCTGATGCCCTCAGGAGCCTGCCTTCCAAGGCAGGGGGTGCAGGACACTGCAGGGGTCATCTTTCTTGCTGTGAGAGACTAAACATGGCCGCTGCCCCCCTGGGAAGCCTCTCCTTTGGGCTGGGCCTGTCACTGTGCCCAGCCCTTTTGTGGCCCACACAGCTGTGCCCAGCGAGCTGGGGGACCCCTGTGCAGGCCAAGAGGGTGGAGGGTCTCAGCTCCCCCATTAACTTGCTCCCCACCCTTCCGGCCCCCAGCTGTGCCCTGCACCCCATCCACCTTCAAGTGCTCTGGCAAAGTCTGCATTGGGAAAGCGAACCCCGAATGTGACGGCGTCATGGACTGCAGCAACGGCAGGGACGAGGCCAACTGCAGTAAGTGATCTCCCCTCTCCCCTAGTCCACATTTAGCTCTGCTCACCCCCAACCAGACGGTGTGGGGGGCAAGCAACGTGGCGGGGGCTCACAGGGGTGTCCTCTCAGCCTGCTTCTCTTCCCACCCACCTAGACTGTGGCTCAACCTCAGCTTTGGCCTTCAGCAAGATCGTGGGGGGCAGTGGCGCAGCACGAGGGGAGTGGCCGTGGCAAGCGAGCCTGTGGCTGCGGAGGAAGGAGCACAAGTGTGGGGCGGTGGTGGTGGCTGACCGCTGGCTTCTCTCGGCTGCCCACTGCTTTGATGTGTGAGTTGGGGGGCTGGGATGAGCGCTGGGGGTGGGGAGAGGTGGAATATGAGTCAGGGGGGAAGGGGGTCTTTCTGCAGCCATTGCTCCCCTGCTACAGGAACAAGCTCCTTGCTGGTGAAGAAGAGGACCCCATCCTCTGTGCCTCCCCAAGCCAGCAATGTTTTCATAGCACAGGAGGGCACTGCCAGACCTCCCTCCCTTTGGATCCTAGGCATCCCCTTTCCTGTGAGCCCCCAACCAAGGCCAGTCCACTCAAGAGGTGAGATGAGGCAACTGCCTCAGGTAGCAGGATCCAATGGGGCAGCAGGTGCAGTCTCCAAGGAATGCACCAAGGTGAAGGGGAGGGGCTGCTGGTCTCCTCCCACCCTTGTTCCTGATGTAGATCTTTACTCCTGGCTGGGAAGTGGAGGGAGCCACTGGGTGGTTCTCCTCAGGCGCCCTGCCCCCCTTTTCCCTGGAGATTGGGGAGACGGGGCAGGCCTTGAGCTGGCCAAGGGTCCCAGGTGCACCGTCCTTCTCAGCTACAGCGACCCAAAGATGTGGGTGGCCGTCCTGGGGACACCCTTCCTGAGCGGCCTGGACGGGCGGGTGGAGAAGGTGTTCCAGATCCACAAGCACCCCTTCTACAACATCTACACACTGGATTACGATGTGGCGCTGCTGGAGCTGGCCTCCCCGCTGAGCTTCACCAGCACCATCAAGCCTATCTGCCTGCCAGACCACGCCCACCTCTTCGGCCAGGGCGCCCGCTGCGTCATCACCGGCTGGGGCTCCACCAAGGAGGGAGGTAGGAGGGAACCTCTTCCCAGCTGGGTGGGGGAGCGCCCCAAAGAGGCAGCTCTGGCCCTCGGACCACTCCGGCTTCCCTCAAAACCCAGGCAGCCAAGCAGCCTCGGATCAGCTGGCTGGCTCTATGGGGTGCCCACAGGCAAAGGGCAGGATTGGGCCCTGGGCCTTCCTTGCTGTGAGTCTCCTGCCCCCTCTCGCTGCCGGGAAGCCCAATTCCACTCTGCCCTCCCCCGCAGGGCTGATGGCGAGGCAGCTGCAGAAGGCGGCCGTCAACCTCATCGCGGAGCAGGACTGCCGCCGCTTCTACCCTGTCCAGATCAGCAGCCGGATGGTCTGCGCCGGGTTCCCGCAGGGGTCCGTTGACAGCTGCTCTGTGAGTCTTGGGCGCCCCTCCAGGAGGGCTCACACCACCTCCCCCTCAGCCCTGGCTGCACCAGGTGGGATGGGAGGGAAGCCCACAGCTAGCCAGAAGTGGCTGGAGCTGGGGGTGCTTATGAGAGGGGAGGAGGGAGAGAAGGCAGTTTGCAGGGCCTGGGGGGTCCCCTTGCCCCAGAGCCCTGTCCCCGCTCCTAAGGACACTCAGTGCCTTCTCCCTCCTCTGCAGGGTGATGCCGGCGGCCCCCTGGCCTGCAAAGAGGCTTCGGGAAGGTGGTTCCTGGCGGGCATCACCAGCTGGGGCTATGGATGCGCCCGCCCTTACTTCCCGGGGGTCTACGCCCGAGTGACAGCCGTGCGGGGCTGGATTGCGCAGAACCTCAAGGCGTGACTCAGGGAAGAGGCCGGGAGATGGAACAGCAACTCTCCTTTGGAAGACCCTCTGCCTTTAACCAACAGAAGCACTTTTAGAACATGTTTTCTCTGAATAAAGAGGCTCGCCTGCCTCACTTGGACTTCACAAAAAGGGCAGGATGAAGTTCCCCCTTCCTCTCCTGGCCTGTCCACTCTATCACCCCATGATCTCTGGCCATGACCCTTGTGGAAGGAGGGCAGGTGACCTTGAGCCGCCTCTTGGGAACACAGGCTGAAGGACGGATGGACAGACAGGGATCCTTGCCTCAGGAAGAAAGCGTTTCCCTTGGACAGTCTGGCCAGAGACACTGCCTCGACTTCCCTTCCCGCCGTAGCTTGGCCCCTGGGTGGGGGGGCTCTGCCTTGTGCCGAAGGGCTGGATGTGGGGTGGCCTCAAGCCTTCTCTGTGCAAAGTGAGCAAGAGAAGCGCTCGGAGGAGGCCAGAGCAACGGACAATTAAACAAACCCCTTTGTGGAGTTTGGTGTGTGCTGGGGATTTTGTGCTACGCAAACAAAGATTCTTTCTCCCAGCTACCCTTAAAAACAAAGCCAGCCCCAAAATCTGCAGAAACGGGGTGGGAATGTCTCCCTTGCTATCCACAGGGACCACACCCCCGCCCCACTTTCACAAAAAGCAGCACAAGGCCTTGGGCTCAACTGGAAGAGGTTCCCTGGGCCTCCACCTAAATGCTCCCCTGTGCAAGAGGGGAAAGGTCCCTTCTTGTAGAAATCCAGCATGTCAGGGAGAAGCGGCCAAGCGTCTGTTTTCAGAGGGCGGGGCTTCTTTCTCAGCACAGTTTGGTTCAGGCCTGCCCTACCCTATCTCCTGCCCCCAACCTAACTTTGTTCATTCCCCGTGCACCACCGGCTCCGAGTTCTGCAAGATCCAGCAGGGTGATGCCTGCATCCCTTCATCTGGCTTGGTCTGGGGGCAAGGGCACCTCGCCCACTACACAAGCCCTGGGGGTGACTCAGCCAAGCAGTGAGCGGTGCCCCTGTAAGCCCTCCCTGTCATGGCACTGTGCCCGGGCGTGGGGCTGACTAGGACCCAGTTGTCGTAAAGCAAGGGGTGCCCAAACTTTTTTCAAAGAGGGCCAGATTTGATTACGTGAACATGAGTGAGGGCAGACCAAAATTGTTGAGTTTTTTTAGGGTTGCAGTTGTTGACCCCAAAGTTGTTGAACTTTTTTTAGAATTTGACCCCAAGAAATAAACTGCCACTGGGTCCGGATTGAGCCCCCAAAATGGACTTTAATTAGAAGCAGCCCATGTTGAGTTAGGGGCACACCTGCAATTGGGGGACACTGCGGAGACCCCACTCTCAGGCACAAATATTTCTGAATGATTTATCCACTCCTTTTCCAATTCTCGCACACCCTCAAGTAACGGGGGAAGCCCCCCCCCCGCTAATTCAGGCCTCAGGCTGGTTCTCCCGGCTTCTCTTCATCCCCCTAGCTTGGCCCCTTCTACCTAAAGCTTGCTTCCATTTCTCAGCACAGGCCCACAGGAAGTCAACTTGGGGGGCTGGGAAGGCAGGGGCATAGGTCAATCACAGAATGGTAGCCTTGGAAGGCGACCTCGAGCGTCATCTAGTCCAACCCGCTGCAATGGGTTTGCTTTCCGGAGGACGGAGCGAGGGCGCCCCCTGCTGGGCCGGGGCTTAGGCTCGTTCTCCCCAGAGGGTAAATCTGGATCAAATGGGGTGAGGGGCGGGCAGAATTCTGAATGCCACTGGTGCCCTATAGACCCCCCCCAAAGCCGACGCCTGGAAGCGCCTCCACCAAGTCCTCCGGGGCGCGCGCTCTGCTGGGCTCTTTTCGGTCGTCGTGTTTGTGGGAAGCCGCCCCTTCCCTGGGCGACGCGCCGCCTCGCGACTCCGGAGTCAGTCCCGAGGGCTCTCGGAGGGACTCGCGAGCGACGGCGCGGCGGCTCCGGGGCGCGCTCAGCCGGGCCGCCGCGCGCCCCCGCTGCAGCTGCCCGGCGTGGAGCGCGACGCGGAGTGCCAGGCCGGCCGGGCGCAGCGGAGCAGGCCGGGCGTGGAGGCGCCGGCGGGGAGCAGCCGCCCACGTAGTGCCGAGCCGGGCGGGGGCGGGAAGGTATTGGTCTTCTCCGGGCGCAGGAGGGCGAGCGGGAGAGGGTCTCCTGGAAGGAAGCGAGGCGGCGGCGGCGGCGGCTAAGGGGGATGCAGGAGGAGAAAAGCCCCGAGGCGGCGAGAGGGGGAGCGTGGTGCCTTGTCCAGGCCTGGCTTTGTGCCGTCCGCTGCCGGGAGCAGGACACGGGTTCGCATGTGCTCGGAGAGCTGCTTTCCCTGGTGATCGGTGAGGGCTCCCAAGGACCTCAGTCGGGAATCCGCGTCCCTGCGACTTGGTGAGGCCTCCTCCTTGGTCCCCTGGTCGAGCAACGCAGATCTGGCGCTCCTTGCTCCTGCTCTTTTTAAATGGTGCAATCCTAAGCAGCCTCGCCACGCTTCAAAGGGGGCGCTCATCTGAGGAGAGGCGACTGCGCAACCGCAGGGAGGAAAGGGCCGCCTGCCCGCGCCTCTGCTGCCCTCGTGTCCCAGTGATTTGCCATGGGGAGATGAAGGGTGCTGGCCGAAGTGGGCCTCCTTTGGCCTCATTCGGTTGCTGCAGGGCTCTTCTGGTCTTCCAGATTCTCCCTGCCATTTGTTCAGACCGAGGACCCTCTTGCCTCATTTGAGCGCTTCCCTCCTTCCCCTTGCAAATACTTGGTCTTTTCTCTCCCTGCACACAGATGGTTGTTCTCTGCGGCGTCTCGTGCGCTCCAATGCACATGGTGTGATGGGGAGGGGAGAGGAGAGACAGAACTCCTGGGTCCTGCTCCTGACTCATCTTGAGCAAGTGCGGACACATGCGCGCACTTTTCTTCAGTGACTGTTTCTAATCTGTGTGGAACCTCTTTGAATTGTGCACTGAGGGGGTCACAGCTGGGCACAATCTGCCCTGATCCAGACTCGCCCAATATCATCAACATAGTGCTTGCTTGCATGCTTGTCTCCCTAAGTCCCGCTGTGTTCCCTAGGCCGTTCTTGGAATTGTGACCTCTGTCACATGCAGACACCTTCCAGGAGCCACAGGTGAGAGCTGAGAGCGGGGGTGTGTGTGTGCAAAAGTGGACAATAACCCCCAAAAGGAGCAGGATGTGCCCCTCCCCATACAGCCCATAACCCCTCTCCTGCAGTATATCAGTCATCCTGAACTGCCTGCCACAAGCCTCTTGGTGATTGTGGTGTTTTCTGCAATTAGAATAACTTGAACTAGGAAGCCATCAGACCCTCTGGTTGAGTTTGAATTGCTGATGTTCATGGGTCCTGGTGGACCTTCTTCATTTAAGACTGAATTTTGAAGGACCCAAAACAGTTAGTACACCAGGAAGTGCCATAAAACAGGCCACAAGTGTGCTTAGCAGTTGTTGTTTTTGGAGGGGTTGGTGCATGTGTGAGAGTCCCTGTGAATCCCTGTGAGTTATAAAGAGCTGCAAGACAGTCCTGTGAGGCATGCAAATTGTGAATTAGGGCACAGATGGTTCCCTCCAAGTTTCATTTTAAGATGCCTTGATAAAGATATTTATGGCTGCTTTTTTATTCTGCATCTATACATACCTTCCAACCTACCTACCCACCCCCACACATTCTAACTGATGGCTGGAACAGATGTTTGGTTTCCTGTTCCCCAGAGGAGAATATTTGTGCCTTCTGGCATTTTGGTAGATGCTGCTGCTGTCACTGTTCTTGCTCAGGGTCGTAGTTTCCTGCCTCTTTGATGGCCTTACCTGGCCAAGTGCTTCCTCTGGCTTCCTTTCCACATCCAGTGGTCCTGGACTAGCACCTTCCAGTGTTGAGGGATGCATTCACTGATAGCCAACCTGCTCTAATGGTGAGAAGATGGCTTTGGGTTTGTTTCTCATTTGGCAACTTGTCCAGCTTTCCAGGTTATTTTGGCAGCTTCCTTTGGAAACTGATTCAGCTGAAATGAGCAAGCACTTCTCTTCCAGGAGAGCTTGTTGACTCCAAGCCTGAGTGTTACTGTTGGTGATAAGATGCTGCATTTGGTGTGCAAAGAGCTGTTCAGGATGCTGTGTGTGGCTTCAGCACCCCTTCCTCAGAGCTACTGCTCTGGTGGAGATTGGGAGAACCCATGGCGGAGTTGGGGCAGGGGAACCCTCCAGAGCCCTCACTGCAGATTGCCTGAGTTGTGTCTGATCCCCAAGGAAGTGCCGTGAGCAGCCTTCCTTTGCCCCCTTAGGCTTTTGCTACAGAGACGGCCTCTTCTCCTCTGATTCCTGTCACCTCCTCCCTGAGATGCTTTGTGGCTTTTTTGTTTGGATCACTAGCTGTCAACACCCCAGCATCGTTTTTTGCTCGCCAATCGCTTCTGGACACATTTCCCATTGCTGAGAAGTTCCCTTTTAATTTGTAAGCCTGGAAAGAGACAGGCCTGTCTGGATGAAGTTGTGTTTGGTATTTAGAAGCAGGAGAGAGTGAGGGCTTGAGTGGATCCATCTGGTGAGGTCTTTTCATGGCTGGTTTGTGCTCCTCGCAGTCTGGAGGACTTGCTTCTGCTTTTTGGGAAATCTTTTGGTCTGGAGAAATGAGGCAATGCAGAGGCAAGCCTGTTCTAGGACCCCCGCAGTGGGCAGCTTTAGGGGGCTCCTCTGTACGGAAGCCGGCTTGCAGCTCTGGGGCCACAAAGGAGGAGGAGGCCATTTCCTGCTTGTTTGTACTTCATTCTGCCTTAGAATAATAGAATTGTAGAATTGGGAGGGACTGCAAGAGTCATCTAGTCCACTCACCACAATGCAGAAATCACAGCTAAAGCATCCAAATCAGGGGGGCATTCTGCTTTGCATGCAGAAGATCCCAGGTTCAATCCTGATGGTGAGATTTCCAGTGCTGAAAACCAGCAGAGCTGCTGCCGGTCAGTTTTGGCAGTGCTGAGCAAGATGGACTTGGAATAAGGCCACTTCCGTTATTAAGCCAGTGTGGTGTAGTGGTTAAGAGCGGTAGTCTCGTAATCTGGGGAACCGGGTTCGTGTCTCCGCTCCTCCACATGCAGCTGCTGGGTGACCTTGGGCCAGTCATACTTCTTTGAAGTCTCTCAGCCCCACTCACCTCACAGAGTGTTTGTTGTGGGGCAGGAAGGGAAAGGAGAATGTTAGCCGCTTTGAGACTCCTTAAAGGGAGTGAAAGGCGGGATATCAAATCCAAACTCTTCTTCTTCTTCTTCTTCTTCTAAGAGCCATGGGCAACACCAGTGAACCTCACCCAGGTCTGGCAGCTGGTGGGGGAGAGGGATAAAGGAGACCACAGTGGTGGACACCATCTGAGTGAGGGTCTCCCTTGACCAGTTCAGCCCCCACTGATGGGGGATATCTCAGCTGGCCAAGGAACTAAGGAGTGGGGAGAACACCAGCTCCTTCCTGGTTCAGAACCAAGACCCACTTTGCCCAGCACTTGCCTT